AAGTTGATCACAGCCAAGCACTCTTATAAATATATCTTGTTGCTACTAAAAGCTTGTACTTTGTGATCAACTTAGTGTTGGGAAGCAAGTAATCTTTAGCAGATACGACACCAATTTAATATATCCTCTTAGTTTCTCTTCTTTCAGATCCAACAGTTGTTCTATTGATGAAGTTAACACAAGAAATCGTAATGTCTCAATTATTTGATGCTGATTACATGGATCATTTCCAATCAGAAAAAGATCAACTGATTCTAATTCGATGTAGTTAACAAAATATGTGATGAAACCGACTGCAAGTCACAAAATCGACAAACTAGAATATTGACAAAATTAACTTGAGAGAAGCATTTATTAACATAAACTTAACAACCAATAGATACATCTGAAAGAAGCATGGTGTTAACCATAAGCTTCTCTACTGATTAGACTGAGCAAGAACCAGATCAGCTGCTGATAGTGTACCGGACTGATCAATGTCGAGATCCTCGAATTCCTCCATCACAAGTGCGATATCCTCTTCGCTGATCTTCCCCATCTCTTTCAGCTTATAAATTATGAACTCTGCAGCACTGTGAATATCAGAAAAAATAGGTATTAGTATTCAAAATCGTAAACAGACTTCATCGAGAGAAATTTAGATGGTTAGGGGTGGAATTACTTACCCCACAACACCATCATCATCAAGATCTGCTGCTTCAAGGTCCACAAATGTCATTCTTCTAGTAAGGACCCATTTAGCCAGTAATTTCTGTCGGTGTTCTGCGTTTAACTCAGCAAGGTATAGAAAGAACTGAGCTACACAAACAGTGCTAGTTACGATCCAGAAAATAGCAAATGCACGACCTCCTCCAGTTGAGAAGCTCTTGTCTCCATATCCTAATGTGGTTATAGTAGAACAAACACAATAAAAGGCATCGACAAATTCTAGTTTCTCGACCTTCCATAGAAACACAGTCCCAATGGTAATTAGCAATACAAGAATCACTGCAGTTGTATAGAATTTATATTTTACTTTGTTAGTCTCAATCTGTTTCAACATATGTGCCTCCCCTCCCTTGCAACGCATATGTAATGCTTTATATAACAGCATTTCCTGCTTTTCAACAAGATAATCAGCTGCTCTACTTAACAACATACCTACTATTGCCATGCCAGTAAACACAAAAACAGATGCTAGAAGTTTTGTGGTGACACTATTTGGAACCAGATCTCCATAACCAACGGTGGTCATTGTTACGATGGAGAAGTATATAGCATCAAGAACACCATTTGTTTTCCTGCCAGCAAGTTGATCCTTTACAAGATAAAAGCAAGCAGCCCCTGCTCCTAGGTAGATAACCAAGTAGAGAACTACTTGCTTAAGGCTTGGACGAAAATAGATGGAATTCAACTTTGAATCAGGAAGTGTGCCACCAACTTCAGTCGGACCCAATAGGATGTCGACAGATGGGGCACTTTTACTACGGAGGAACCTTTTTCTCTTGGTTGTGGTATTCTTCTGGGGATATTTAGGAGGATCTACTAACCCTGAGAGCAACGGCCGTTTTGCAGACTCGTTAGCCATTAACTGTCTAAATAATAATACGATCTCTACTTTACAAGTACCTGCAGTAGAAAATAACTACCAAAGAGTCATGAATTGTAATTCCTTAATGTTAGAATATGAGACTACATATCTATGTTTTGATCATAAAATTGACCAATAGTTGTATGTTTTGACAATGAAATGTCTATTTCATCAATTCTAACATGAAAAACAAGTTATCTTTGACAAAATAACAGATCAGAAGGACTCAGAACAAACAAAAACAATAAAAGAAAAAGAAAGTATCCAATACCATTAATTATGTTTCTTCACCTTATGAAGATAGGAAACCATGGGAAAGCAACCAGAGAGTTACCCTACAACATTAACAAGTAGCTTTTTCTTAACAACATTATCTTAAGAATTTAGTTTAAGATGTAAACAACATTGAATGTTCAAAAGAAGGGAAAAAAAATGATCCCTGAAAATCAAAAAATATATTAACTACGAAAAGGAACCTGATGGCTAACACACAGTTGAAGTCACTAGAACATAAGAAGCCCAAAGATACAGTAAAACAGAGGTCTCCATGCACCTCAGACATATGCATTCAATAAACAAAAATAAAAACCTTAAGACTGTCTTTTATTTTACTGATATGAGGGTTGAAAATTTGATGATAGACCAAAATATGCTGCAAGCTAGGACTCAAAGAGAAAATGGCAAGCCAAAGGAGTACAGATGTACCCATCATGTTTCAGGTACCAGATCTCCCACACAACTAAAAAAAGACAAAAAAAAGCATTTTCAGATGCTCATGCCCATGTGTAGGCATCTGCACTCATAATGCAGTCAATTCTTGACATGAAGTGGTGCATGATAAGCATAGTCATCATAAAATTCTGTATGCATCAATGCCAGGCCTTCAAGAAAAAATCTTTTAAGGCAGATTTCAGGATAACCATAGCCATGGTATATTTGTATCCGTCAACGGCATGTACAAAAGAAAAACAACAAAAAGTATATCTTCCTTACAGAAAATTTCAGAAGAATCATAGCCATGACAAAATTTTGTATGCATCAATATTAGGCCAAAAGAAAAACAAAAAAACATATATACGTCCCTTAAAGTAAATCTCAGGATATGCACAATCGTAATAAAATTCTGTATGCATCAACACCGGGCCAAAAGGAAAAAAAAAAAAATACATTAAGCCAGATTACATGATAACCATCATAGTCATGGTATAATTTCGTATGCATCACCAGGCAAATAAATAAATAAAAACAAAAAAGAATCCTTGAAGCAATTTCAGGAGAAGCATTGTCATGAAAATTCTGTCAGCATCAATGCTAGCCAAAAAAGGAAGAAAAAAGACTTCATTAAAGCAAGTTTTAAGATATGCGAAGTCATGATAAAATTCTGTATACATAAATTCCATGCAACAGAAAAAACCTCTCATCAAATCAAATTCCAGGATAAGCATAGAAATTCTAAAATTCTGTATGCGTCGATCCCAGGCAAAAAAGGGAAACCAAAAAAGATTACCTTCCTCAAAGCAAACCCGTAGGGTTCTAGCGGAAAGGCATCAAGTAGATCTTCCACCTCCGAATTCTGTCTCAATGGCCAAAAGGACCAAACTTTATCGGTCCTCCAGCTCCGACTTCCGCCTCAAAACCCTCCAACCTCCTTCCCAAAGGCAGTCAGCAGCACACACAGGATTGGGTTCCGTAATCACGAAAGATTTCCGACCAAGAACTGGATCTCTAGGGACGAAGGATGATAACGGGTTTACCTCGCTGGACTAAGCTGTGGACCTCCGCATCGATCGAATACGATACCGACCACGGATGGGCTTCCGACGGATTCCGAGATTATAAATGACAGGAGGGCACGTCCGTCGAAACCATACGAAGGCCGGGGACGGGGGCGTGGGGGGTGTCGGCCACGTGGCGTGAGATCTGTTCACCTTTTGACTTGCCATGTCTCTCTCATCGATGCCGGACACCATCGTCATGTATTAATGCCACATGTATATGTAGATAACGTCAAGAGGACGATTAGATCAAACTACACACAATAGAACTTCAATATGAAACCGATTTATAGACTTAATCTTCAACCACTCCAATTTTACAAATGAAATTAAATTGCTATTGAATATGATATTATTAGACGAAGAAGTAAATACACTCACAATGATCCCATATATTAGATCATACATCCTCCCACATAACGTGAGATTAAGCAGGATATCAGGTTACATCATCGATAATCGACTCACATCGAGATCATGTTACACCATATAATTAAGCTGGATGTTGCGTTACATCAACAACGATCCACTAGGAAATTAAGAACATTTAAAATTTAATTCATCTCTCCAAAAAAGTCAGAGTATGACGTCAAGGGCGGTGTTTTCAACTGACTTGATTAGGTCAATAGGGATCGATGGACCATTGACTTTTTCTTACAAATGAGAAATCCACTTTAGTCAAACTAAAAAAAAGTTGCTTTTAGACATGTGTTTTTTGTCAACACCTTTGAGTCGTGCCCTCAAGGTCGACGCGGCTTGGTTCGGGTCCGAATGAACAGGAATCTTCCTGGGGAACCCGGGAGACCGCTGGAGTGACTGACTTCGCTAGGCGCAATTGGGGACAGGTCTACCGCCTTTTCCAGGACGGGGCTCCCCTTCTAGGCGTCCGGGAGAGGCACTCCGCCTTCGTACCTGCACACAGGTCGGGTCGAAAGAGCTCGGCCCGACCCCTCCGACGATCAAGTTAGTGAATAGTCGCATGGGGTTTTTGTTATCTCTTCACCCTCTTTTCCTCGGAGTGCGAGAGTTTTTATAGTGAAGGGTACTGTTGCCTGATGTGCCCGTTTGTAGGGAATAGGATCGTACTCCTGGTAACATCTGACATCGACGTTGGCACGGCGTAAAGGACCAAGCCCGAGCAGGATGTTAATGTGCCTCGGTCGGCGTTCCGATCCGTGTTGACCAAGTGCTGTCAGATTAACAGAAGGCGCGAGACGTCATCTGGGGTAGTTGACGTCAACCCGAGTCTTATCGCCATTATTACCCTCGTTTCAAAATTGTAAATAGCAAAATTAGCTCCTCCAATTTATCATATAACATGTACCATTATATATATATATATACTAATACTGATGAAATTTAACTGTACTAATATATTAGTTTATATTTAATTAAGTTTTCCAGCGATATATTTATCTCAAACAAAAATTTATATGGATAAATAGCAAAATCACACTTTATATTATATATATACACACACATACACACACACAATATATATATATATATATATATATATATATATATATATATATATTGCCAACTATAAAAATGTGTATTTATTGAGCCCTTCGGTGGCCCAAACTTAACCGACAATGGGCCGCATGATGGACACATTAAAACCGCCCATATTTATCGGTATGGTATGCCTGCGGTGTTCATAAACTCCCGGGGACAAAACGCGTCTCAGCGTCGTCGTCATAACCCCCACAGCGGTCGCTCGGTTCGCGATCCCTTCTTCCGCTTTCTACCACTTCTGCCGTTGCGCCTGCCTTTCCTTCTCTGTTCGAAGGCGGGCGATAGATCCACCCGCCTCGGATTCCCTGAGGAAGGAAAGGGCTTTCTCTTGCAAACATCAAGGTTCTCTCTTTCCCTTCTTGCTCGTCTTTTGCGGAGGTTAATAGGGCGTAAAGTCGTGTGTCTGTGCATCTTCTAGCTAATTGGTCAGATCTTACTAGCACGAACGGCGATGTGTTCTTTCTCTTGCTAATTGCTGGAAATATTAGGGAAGAAAGGGGGTAAGAAAATTAAACGGAAGTCAAATTGTCGATGATGTGCAATTCTAGACTGCGGCAATGGTTCAAGCGTCAGGATGTTCTAAATCCATCCGTTCGGGGGCATCTGCTATCCATTTGATAGCGTATTTGATCTGCAGCTGCCCAAGTTGCCAAAAGCACTCCTTTGTGAGCTCTGGGGAAACATCTGATCGGACATGGTTCGTGTGATTGCCAGTCCAACAGATGATGGGATCCTAGACCTATCTGTTTAGGCCTAACAAGGTTAATCAAAGACCATCTAATGAGGCTTCTCGCACAAAATTTACATGCCATTTTAAAAATATGTGTTTAATGTATCAATCCATATCAGAGAGACTCAAATAATACGTGAGAAAAAAAGTTTATAGATTTTTGAAATATATATTGGTACGACACAATTGTAAATTTGTAAGGATGGATGAAAACTTAATCATCTCTTTTTGTTTTCACTTTTAGTGGTTAGACGGACACTTATGTCATGTATGATAGAAAGAAAATTTTCTTCCAAGATGCTTACAAGCTTTATTCTACGTTGCCATTTTTTTTCTGGATTTATGAAAATATGCAACATCATCATCTGTTGTTTGTGTGTCTTTGTTCTTGTGTGTTGTTTTTTCTGCTGATAAAAAAAGAGAATTAATTCTGATGTTCCATTTCAGATCCCAGCAGCTGCTACAATGAATTGGAAGTTTCCGAGTTTTGGGTGAGCAGTGGTCATTATGATCATAAACCCTGTTTTAATACCTACGATTTGTATTTGAATATAAGCTCTTTGTATGTTTCTAAATTCTAATTGTTAAAGCATTCCAAGTTTCAAATCCATTATACATTTTAATCATGATGATTTTAAGCATGCCTTTTTTTCTCTTATACACGTTCTAATTTTTCATAAAGGGGGAATTTTCTTCTCACTCAAGGTCAAGATACAGTCAAATAATCAAGATTTGAAATTGCAATGCGTATTGTTTGGTCTGACTTTTTACTTGGAAATTGCTTTATCAGCTGTAGAGAATCATGCATATCATTACTGATAATGATATTTTTGAATTGATTTTTGTTATTTGTCTTCTGACCGACTAAGACACTCTTTTGCCATTAATTTTGTAAGGTTTATGTTTTATCTATGCTTCAATCATTTAACATGGTATGACTTCCAAAAGAAGAAATTCCTAAAGTTCTTCAAATTATAGGTCTCCATAACAATATTTTAATTGCTTTGAATCTTTAATCTGGCTATTCATGCATTATGCTTCTATTGTATATTAAGTTCATCGTTTTTCTTTTTGCTTTTTATTAAACAAGCTATGGTACAGATCATAAGTCGTTGCACAGTACCCACTAAATATTTAAATCATAGGCTGTGTTAGCAACAACTGCAAGTCTTTAGTAGCCTGGATAGCTAAAGTATATGCCATACTAGCCAGCATGAACTATGAAGTCTGTAATTCACTAGAAAGTGCTAGTTATAGGTGCCCTGTAAGCTAATCACGTGAGTGATGACACGTGTGACTTAACACGCAGTCTTTTTGCTTATTATTATTATTTTATATTTTATCACTTTATATTGCCTGTTGTTTGAATATATTGTGATGTTCATGGATTTGTGCAATGAGAATCAGATAGTGATGAGATCACGATAATGAGACCGATTCGTTTTTAAACACATATCTTAAATAATCCCAGTTATAGGTTACTCGAGAGGGACATCGAGATGACCGGACAGACTAGTGGCTTAGTACGTCCGTAGTCGATGAGTCGAGTGAATTATTATGGAGTTCTGCCAAGTATGACTTACGGCCAGCTCGATATTAGGCATAGAGGATCACACACATTTGATATGTGTTGCGATGAGTAGAGGTTCGGATATTAGATATCCGCCGGAGCCTCTATCTTATTGGATATCCAATAAGCCCCTGAATTATTGGATCCTATGGATGAGATCTAATAAGAGCCGATGAGAGATTATTGAATAAAGATCCACTAATATAAGAGGCTTGGGTAGTTGGATGGAGATCCAATATCCAATAGTGCAGAATCCATTAGGGTTATGTTGATAAAGAATCTCTATAAATAGGAGAGAACCAATGGTTCATAGGCTAGAGTCTCTTTTGGTTGCCATCTCCTACTCTCCTCTCCCCCTCTCCTCCTCAGATAGTAGGCCTGGAGACTTGAGGAGCATCGTCGCAGCCCTGCTGTATGGATCACCGCTAGAGAGGAGGACGCTTGACTTCCTTCACCCTCTCCTAGAGATCTGCAGGGATTTAGGGATATACGATCTCCCTAGGTAACACGTTCTTTAATATACGTAGTTTTAAGTTTCGCGATTTTTGCGCACCAATCTTCGGACGATGACGAACACATCGATAAGAAATTTGAGAATTTTATTTTTTATGTTATTTCGCTGCCCATGTGATGTTGCCCACAAATTTTCCAACTGAAAGCTGGTACAAGGTGCATATACCTCTTTAACATGATTCTGTGAGGACTGATCCACTGGAATACAACAAAAAATTTCAGGATCTATGCCTAAGTTAAGCTAGCAGATTAGCAATTTCCACTCATCATTTTGCACAAGTCTATGGTCATTCACATCTTTTGGGAACAAAAAAATTAAGATCACCTACCTGTTAGTATAACTTTGTGTTTTGTCCCTTATGAGTTTCTAGTTCAAAATGTAACAAAACCAATATTTTAGGATACATATTGCCATTCATTCCATTTATCGTCTGTAAGTATTTGGTATGATTGAGAGTTCATTGGTTGTTAGTCTCTACAATTTTCTTACAATATGCATTTTGCCTATAATAATAGTCTAAATTAAATGCAGTTTATGTATCTGCGTTTGATATAACATGTGATAGGAGAGAACATTTCTAATAAATATTTTGCTATAGCCTTTCTGTTCTTGAAGTTCCATAAATTTGTCTGCAGAAGTGCTCAACAACAACAACCTCAGCCAAATTTCCAAGAAATTCCAGTACAATCTTGGTATCCTCCTTCGGTTGTTGGTTCACCTTCACCCTTTTCAACTCCAACTAGTTCTTCTGTTGGTAATGCTCATCAAAGAGCTTTTGATCGCCCTCAGTCACCATCACAGGTGCAGCCATCACCTACTGAGGCTGCTGGAATAATTGCTCGTTTGAAGGATAAAAGGTGCTTGATTCTTTACACTCATATAACATAGGGTTTCTAAATTGTTAGTATGTCATAGGCTTTTTGTATATATTATTTCATCTTCTGGTCTTTGGTGCCGGTTGTTTCTTTGTACACTTTCATGTAGCTCTGTGCAAATTGGTTTCCTCTTTTATGATAAATTGACTTGCATTTTAGATCCTTGATAAGGCCTCACAATTTTTAGCAGAATAGGAACACATTAGTTTGGTTTGTAAGTTTATCATGAACATGCTTAAAAAGGAGACAACACTATAGATTTGCTTACGGATATCCTTGATCATTTTGCCATGTATATAGTTCTCACTGCTAACTGATAACTACTGCTTGATCTTGTCCAACTAAGTAACTTTGTGAAACTTAATAGTTTCAGAATTATATGCTACCCTAAAGAAAGGGACATGGAATATACAGGGGAGTGAGAAAAAGAAAAGGAGATCAGGTCATTGAGAGTCACAGAGGGAGATGATTTCTCTGTTGAATTTGTCCTTTGTGGGTCACACAATCATTGGAGAGCTGATCAACACCAACAAGAGAACATCATGATTCTTTTGTTGGTCTTTGCCTATATTTATATTTTAATGATGCTTTCATATTTAGGTTATCCAATGAATAATGAAGAAATATATACTTTTAGATCAATGCTTATATATTATTTGTTTCTGTTCTTCTGATTCCAGCATTGTTTCTGTGCCTTTTACAGTGTTGACGAACTGAGAAAGCTGTTGAATGACAAGGAAGCATATAATGCCTTATTTAATTCTCTTGACCAAGTGAAAATTCAAAATAATGTAAGTACAAGAAAGTAACTATATGTACTCATACCCTTCTATTACTTTATTTTTTATATGAGCTCTTTACCCGTGAATGCTTAAGACAATCCTTGCCTTGCTTCATTGAATCCTTCAATACAATTTGCTATAAAAGACTCCATAATTCTCTTTTATCACATCTTATAATTGTTGAAATCAATTAGATAACATGATGATGGTTGTGCTTCAGATTTGCCGCTTTTCATCATTAAGTTTGCATGGTTTGCATACCTCCCTGAAATTTGATGATAGCTTTTCTTTTGAATGTGCAGCTTTTCTTTAATCGTGTTGCATGTTTTGCTTTGAGTGTTGATAGTGCTTCCAGGTCAATAACTATTATCTAATGATAACAACAACAAGAACAAGCCGGAATAATTCAACTATTTGTGATTAGTTTTCATGTATCTTTTTCTGCCATCAGTTCTGTGTAGGGCGATTTCATAGTTAAATTAAGAGTAATCAAGTCTTTTTTTCTAGTGGAGTTTTCTGTAGTCTTCCTACATTTATTATGAACTGATGTTCATGGTAGCTTATTGGTCAACCTGGACTGATTCATTCGGATCGACATGAGGGTCCAACTCCATTGCATTGCCAGAATCCATGTTGTATATTTGAAGCAAGTCCTCCTTGTTTCTCTCATGGTACAAGTGCAACCCTCTTCCAGTCAACCTGGCCTGTTCTTTATCTGATGAATTCCAAAGAAACTCGTAGTGCACATATCATTTGAACCTGATTAATCAGGAGTGCCCATCAATAGGAACATAAAAAGGTAGACAGTTGTTGTTTCGGACATGCAGAAAATCACAATGTAACCAAGCAGAGTTGCTTATTTAACCATTAGTAGTTGTTTTGACTTTTGAGGAGAAAATGCTCTGGCTTCATATCTAATCGTAGTACAGTTACAGTTTGTAATATACATAATGTTTTTTCAGTGAATCTTGCACAATCCTTGCATCTCGCATGCACATTAGTTGAGAATAAATGAGGAAATCGTTAAAGCTAAAACAAAGATTAGAAGGTAAAATAAGATCTTAGAAATACAGTACTTGGTTTCTTTTTATGACAGATTAATTTGTTGTACCTAAAATCGACTTTTTAGTCATAGAAGGCATTTTGTACTGAGCTCAATTTTTCAGCTTGTAATAAATTTACAAAGATTCTTATATTTCTCTATTTCCATCAGCTAAGAGATGAACTTCGAAAGGAGACCTTGCAACTTGCTAGTAAGTAACTTGTTTTTCTAAGCTATACATTTTTTAATATTTCTTGAAGTTATTTCATCAGAAAATTAAACTTCAGTACATAACACTTTACAGAGGAGAACTTGGAAAAGGAACCTCGAATTTTGGAGCTCAGAAACCAGGTAAGCTTTCTGAGGTCCTTTTCCTTCACAGGGATAAAAGCAATTTGATTTAAGCTTCCAAATAGATAAGGGGTCTTCTTTTCTGATTTTCTCCTCTTTTTTCCTTCTGTTTGGGGGTTGTATATCACATGTGTGCATATGTCATATGCTGACACTCAAGGGGCACCATATGTTGGTGCCTTTTCTTTTTTTCTGAGGAACTCTAGGTTTCTTTAGCTTTCGTTCTTACATGGTCTTGGACTTTGTTATTTGCCTGATCCCAGATAGCTTCTGTTCCTTCTTGATACACAGTGCACTATCATTCGGACAACTGAGTTGGCAGCTGCTCAAGAGAAGTTAGCTGAATTGGAGAGGCTAAAAGAAGAGACATTGAGTCGCTGTTCACCCTCAGCACTTCTGGAAATGTTGCATGGTAACCACTTGAGCCTTGTTGGTTAGAACAGTTTTTTATCATTCAGAAGTGCATTCAACACAATCGTGACAAGTGGTTGATCGATAAACTTCACTGGATATTGCCTGAAGCATGTAAGGCATGTCATTCATTTCATTGATAAGCTTCACTGAGGGGTTCCACGCACATCCGGCACCTCTCATTGATTTGTCTAAAGGGCTCGGTGCTTAAAAGGTGTAACTCTATTATATGATCCCTATGTGATTAAGAGGTTATACTAGTTTTTTTCCTTTTAAAATGTCTATAGTTACTCTTTTGGATATAATAAAATTCAATAAATAGAAATCTTTTCAAGGAACTCCTTAACATGTCACTTAATTTCATGTTAACACTATAAACCTTTTAGCTAATAATTTACACTTTCTTCTTTTATTATTTCGAAAATAGTAATGAGTAATTACAGTTCTAGTTCAGTCTTGTATAAACTTTAACATTATTTTTCATGAGTTTTTTTTTTGTCTCTCGCACGAGGCTGCAAAAGATCGAAGTGCTTATGGCATCATGTAGATCCCTGCACTCTATAGTCACTAATTGTTAAAACTATATCTTTTCACATGATACCTGTGTCACTCCATAGTCACCAATTGTTGAGTTCATATGCTTGAACAAATGGATGTCAAATGTACTTCCATCTGTGGGTGCAACAATATGTACTTCCATCTGGGGGTGCAACAATGTGTGTTCATCAAACACACATGCTTTTGTATTCTGCTCACTGTTTTACTGATCTGTATTCGACTCATGGTAACTGCCGATGTCTGATATATCTACAGATGCAATGAACAAGGTGGAAGAGGAGTCGGAGATGCTTCACAGGCAACTACTCGACAGGGAGATCGACCTCCCGAGCTTTGTGCAGAAATACAAGAAGCTTCGCACCCTCTATCACAAACGGGCGCTTCTCCATCTTGCTGCTAAGACCTCAGGTCTTTCAGCCTAAGTACTATTATCGTCATCGTGATACTTTTGTGTGGAAACATTGTTCCTCTTGCATTTTGTAAAAACCTGTAGGGAAATGATAAGCTCAGGTCAGTCTTCAGATGTATCTATCCTATCTTTTGTTTGACTTATGATGTTGCATGACAAATTCACGTTCCTTTATGGTGGGAACTACTGCTGCTCTGTAGAAAGCAAATGATCAATTTACCCTTCTCTCTATGTGGATGCTTCCTCACATGCAGGGTTTCTCTCAAAAACTTGATCTGGCCAGGCCAAGTATATTAGGGATATTATAGATATTTTAGGTATATTTTTTAAACTACAGTTATTTATGATTAACCTGAGTTTTCTTGATGGAGGGATGTCTGTGAACGAATTTAATATTACGAGTTTGAGAAATAATATTAAAAGAGATATATATATATATATATATATATATATATATAATCAAAATTTACAAAAATAAATACATTATTTTTCACATGATGATACAAAAATAAATACATTAAGTTTAAGAAAAACTTAAAATAAAATATTTTTTTTTGAAAAATCGCCCAAATACAATTTGCGAAAACTCCGAACCCACACTCACTTGGCACCCATTTTCTTGTTATTATTTGGATCTTTTCCTTTGGCTTGTGATTATTTGGCATCTACTCGATATTACTGGCATGCATCTGTTTACATGGGGAGAGAGAGAGAGAGAGAGAGAGAGAGGA